TTTACAGAAGAGCAAACAGATTAATGCAGATAATAATTTGCCCAGATCTTAGAGTGTCTGTGGCTGAATTGTCTACAGAACAATTGTTTTTGACTATTGCTACATCCACAATGTCAGTGGTTCAAACCCACCAGATGCTTCTTGGAAAGCCTATACAGGGTCACTATGAGTTGGAACCAATTCAATGATACATAACATTATACTGTACTCTCCTCTTTTATCACCAATCACATTGTTTTGTCATTGCTTGACTTTCCCCAAGTTCTACACCTTTGCCCTGACATGTCATAAGCTTCACTGGGGCAGAGAATGTTTTGTCCATTTCATTCTTATAAAGCTCCAATGAAATGGTTATTATGACTATGACAGTTAAGGTAATGTGACAATTTGGCTAGACCATGATTCTCCGTAGTTTGGCATATACTATGTAATTCTCCTTCACTTTGTGCTCTAATGTGATCTAAAGGGAGTTTCCCTAGGGGTGAGGCCTGATTCCAATAGATGGATGATTCTTCAACTGATTGTTATTCTCTAACCCCCAGTTCATGGGATGTGAGCCAGCAGCCTGCTGTCTGACCTGCCCCTTTTAGTTTTTCAGCCCCTGCTGAAGCCTTCAGCATGAAGCATGACCCACAGACTTGGGATTTGCCAGCCTCCACAAATGGGTGAGCCATTTCCATAAGTTTCATTTCACTGGTTTTGCTGCCCTACTCAGCCTAAGACACCATCCTACTTCGAGAAACGAGTTTAAATAATTAAGGGCATCTAAACAGTGCCCTGGATTCAGAAGAGGCCATGAAACAAGAAATATCATTGCTGATGTCCGATGGATCTTGGCTGAAAGCAGAGACTATCATAAAGATGTTTACCTGTGCTTTATTGACCATGCAAAAGCTTTCAATTGTGTGGATCACAACAAGTTATGGAACACATTGTGAAGTATAAGTATTCCGGAACACTTAATTGTGCTGATGATGTGCAGTTGCTCAAACAGAACATGGAAACACTGAATAATTTAAATTAAGAAAGGTGTGCAACAGGGTTGTATTCTTTCACCATACTTATTCAACCTGTATGCTGAGCAAATAATCCGAGAAGCTGGGTTAGATGAAGAAAAACGTGGCATCAGGATTGGAGGAAGACTCATTAACAACCTGTGATACGTAGATGATATAACCTTGCTTGCTAAAAGTGAAGAGGATTTAAAACATTTACTGATGAAGATCAAAGAGCACAGCTTTCGGTATGGATTACATCTCAATATAAAGAAAATACAAATCCTCATCACTGACCAATAAACAACATTCTTATCAATGGAGAAAAGACTGAAGTTGTCAAGGACTTCATTCTTCTTGATCAACTACTAACACTCATGGAAGCAGCAGTCTAGAAATCAAACGACGTATTGCACTAGGCAAATCTGCTGCACAAGACCTTTTTCAAGTGTTGAAGAGCAAAGATGTCAGCTTGAGGACTAAGGTGCGCCTGACTCAAGCCATGGTATTTTCAATAATCTCATATGCTTGTGAAAGCTGGACAATGAATAAGACCAGACAATTGCTTTTTTTGTTTTGACAAATGAAAGTTTATTTATAATGCTTTATTGTGAATTATGTGATAGTTTACATGGGAGAACATTAGTTTTACTTTTATCCTATCGTTTATCGTTTCATTGCCATGGTTACAATCCCCTCCATGTATCATCAACCAACCAAAGGATGGATATACACTACAAGACTGCCTCCCCCCAACCCCCCTTGCCGATCCGTCGTCAGCACACAGCCCCTCTCCCTCTGTGTCTGAAGTCCCGAACAGCTTCATCTCTCCACATACTCTCTGCCTCCATCTCAGGCATCACTGCTTCTCTGGGTAAGGTCCCGCTCTCCGCTCTTCTCCCTTGATGGTCCCAGGAAACTCCACTCCTAGACTGAGAAATTAATCACTCCCCTCCTTGCTACAAAACGTCTACCTTTACATTTCCAACCCTCACAAGCAGTCCTGATTAACAATTATTCACTATTGTATCACAAGAGACCCATCCGCATTTCATTTCATCAGCCCCGCCTAGACAGATTGGATACTACTCAGTGGAGATTCTACCTTCCTTCACATCCTCTGGATCTAGGTTCCCTCTTGAAAGCTTGTTAAGCCAGTCTCTTCTTGCCTTTGTAGCCCCCCGCCCCCCATTTTGGGTAGCCAATGTCCAAGTTGCCCATCCCTGTCTACTCTGTGTATGCAGGGGGTAGGAATGATCCTTGCTGTAAGGATTTGTTCCCTCTTTTGAGCTACTGCATCCATAGGTGTAGGTCAAATTCATCAAATTGTATCAGATTACTCTTTTTTTTTTCCTCTGGTTGAGCTCTGATGATACAGTCACTGAAGCCAGGTCAAGTGGGTATTATCAAGTGTGGGTGTTCTTATGCATATGCCCTCTCTTATCAGTTGGACGACGCTTCACTCTCCACTCTAGTCCTCTGTGGCTATGTCACTGACTCTGGGCCCAAGAGTCCCCAGGTCTTGCCACACTGCTTGGCCAACCAGGTCTGCAGCCAGGTTCACAATTTATTGAACCATGTAGGGCTTAGCTTGCAGCTTCATTGCTGTTTTACTCCTTCCCCTTAGCAGTCACGAGTATGGTCATCAATCAGAGCGTGTATTCCCATTGAGTCTTAATCTTGGAAGGGGGTTTACACTGAGGGAAGGAATTGATGCTTTTGAGTTATGGGGTTGGAGAATATTGAAAGTGCCACGGCTGTCTAAAGAACCAACAGATCTGTTTTAGAAGTGCAGCCAGAGTGCTCCTTGGAGGTCAAAATGGCCAAACTTCGTCTCTCATACTTCAGACATATTGTCAGGAGGGACCAGTCGCTGGAGAAGGGTATCACGTTTGGTAAGGTGGAGGGTCAGAGAAAAAGAGGAAGACCTTCAACAAGATGGATTGGCCAAGTGGCAGCATTGGACTGAAGCATGGCAACAATAGTGAGATTGGCCCAGAATCGGGCAGTGTTTTGTTCTGCTGTGCACTGGGTCACTATGAGTTGGTACTGAGTTGATGGCACCTCACAACTCCTTGGAAGCCCTATACACGGTTGCTCTGAATCAGAAAGTGGAGGGGTCAGTGAAAAAGAGGAAGACCCTTAACAAGATGGATTGACACAGTAGTAAACACAATGGGCTCAAACATAATACTTGTGAAAATGACAAAGGACTGGGAAGTGTTTCATTCTGTTGTGCACGGGGTCATTGAGTCAGAAGTGACTCATACGGCACCTCACATTTATAAATGACTGTGTTAAGAAATATGCAACAGGGAGAACTATGGCTGTTTTAATACAGGCATGGAGGTTAACTTGTTTCTTACATTTCCTGTTTATAGAACATTAAAAAAGCATACTACATTCTTAGTTCATATTATTAAGTACATTTGAATGAGTTCTGACTCATAACAACCGTGAATAAAGTTTCTGAGGAGCAACTGGTAGGTTTGAACTGACCATTTGGTTAGCAGTCCAGTGCTTATCCTACTGTGCCACACCAGGACTCCTTTAGTTCATAACACCTGTGGAAAAAAATTAAACGTCATATATATATATGATACTGACATTTCAACTACATATGTACATATGTATAAATATATGGGAAAAAACTGGCCTCATAGATTAGGGGAACAGAAGCTGAGGGGGGGTTTGGTGTACTGAGATTGGCCACTTAAAAGGGATGTCTTTGGCTATTCTGAATGGCAGGATTGTCAATCATTGTTTTTTCTCTTTAAGGTTTTAGATAGTTTTCCAAACTATCTAAATGAGTTATTTTCTTTGGGTTCAGCCCAACCATACTATAAATCTTTACAGAAATAGAGAGCCTCATCTTTCTCCCATGGAGTGGCAAAAGTTGAATTGTAACTTCCCCTGGTGGTAGTGTACCGTGGAGTCAGTTCCCACTCACAGCAACCCTGTATAGGGTTTCTGGGGCTGTAAATCTTTAAGGGAGCAGAAAGCCTCATCTTTCTCCCATGGGACAGCTGGTAGTTTCTAACTGCTGACCTTGAGGTTAACCACTATGCCTAGGGCTCTGTAAAACAGGTTAGAAGTAGGTCAAGGATGAAGATTTGATCATTCAATTTGGCAAAATGAGTACTTCTGGTAACCTTAACAAGAACAGTTTAGTTAGGGACAGAATGAAAACAAGATGATACCCACCAGTCAGTAACAACCATCTTAGAAACAGGGAAACTTGCACTTTTTATTAGATCAAACAATTGGCCTTGTTCCAGACGACTTAAAAAACAAAAAGCAGCCCTTCATTATTGAAGGCATAATTATTATATAAATTTAGGTAAAAATGGTTTCCTGATTACTGGAAATTTGTTGTTAAATGCCGTCAAGTCAGTTCCGCCGACTTACAGTGACTCCATATATAAGGTTTCCCAAGAGCAGCTGGTAGGTTTCAACTGCTGACTTTGTGGTTTGCAGTTCAGTGATGATCCACAGTGCCACAACAGACGACCTGCAAATTAGGCTACGCATTTTCTTCCTTTTTACTTCAATCACCAGAAATTACCATCAGATTAATGACCATGTATCAACCTGATGACTTAGATTCCTGGTGACAAACATCTTTTACTTCATTCATACTAATGTTGCTGTTTTACCTTTTAATATCTGTGCAATTCAGCCTCATCAATTTTCCAAAATGCAACTGGTAGTAGAGTAGGCTCCCTTGTTCCTTAACCTTCATTTACTTCCTTAAAGGGGACAAGCTCCTTCTGCCTCAGAATCTGCAGACACCCTTTGAAGTGCCTGGAAATACTTTTAGCTTTGCCTGGCATTGAGAGCTACTGCATCCTACAGAGTTGTTAAAATCAGTGGTCAACCTTGAATTTCACCCCCGTTTCTTTTCTCTACCCAGGTTCTCCTCAAAGGCGCCAAGATGTAATGCTTAGACATTAAAATTTCTATGCAACATAGGTTTTCCCACATAACTAAGATAATTAAGTAATGAGAGTGGCAAACATTTTTAAATTTAGAAATTTATTGTTTAATCCACAAGCTTTATATAGCTTTAGTTTAAAAAACAAAAAACTGAAAAACGAGAAACAAACAAAACAAAAAAACAGAAACAGTGAAAACAAGACACTATTTCAAAGTCTGGGCCCTTCCAGCCTTTCAAACACAAGAGCTCTGAAAACTGTATGCCAATTGGAAGAACAAGACAAAATCATGAATGAGCCATGACATTTCAGAAAACAAAATTTTCTATAACTTGAAGGATCCTTCCTGGGACTAGTTAATTGTTTTTAAAAAAGAGAGAAAAACAAAAACAAAAACAAACCCCAACCAAGTAGAGTAGAATTGAATTCCAGTGTTCCAAATCCATTTGTTGGACATCAACATTAGGCCCAGCGTCCTGGCAAACAGCATGCTCTCATCCTCAGTCCCATCCGAGAACTCCAATCCTGATTCACTTCAGCAGAGACTCCGCAGGCAACAGGAAAAGATGGTTGCATGAAAATGTTCACTTATACTTTTGTGGTAATTTAACAGTGTTTTGGGCAAACTTATCAATATAAGGTTGGAAGCATAACTTAAATGGGTACTATTGAAGACTCATATGAGAAAGTTAAAAAGAAAAAGAAAAAAAAAAAAAGAGCCACCGGGACTAGCGCCAGAGGCATTTATTAAAGAAACCATATGAATGATGTGAATGCCAACCATATTTAAATCCCCTTTTTTAAAAAAGAGATTTTTTTTTGGCTTAAAATTTTCACTCTAAATGAATTTATGTCAGCTGTCAATGAAAAAAAAATGTCACTAATACACCGTGGATACCCTTTTGCAATGTAAATCCATGCCCCCTTTTTTTACATGGTGAACTTCAACCTAGCAATTATTACAACAAATGTTATAGTCTAAAGCTCAAACACATTTTTTTTTCCAGCAATTTTGAAATTGAATTGCGTACAAACCAAATAAAATTTACATCCTAACAAACATTTCCATCTAAGACTGTGGGGACACTTGAGCCTTCCTCATTGATCTCAGGGCCTTTTCACGCAGGTGCTTTTCTAAGTCATCCAGGTTGTCTTCAGCTTCACTTTCAGTTTCCTGTGAGAGAGAGGATGGTCATAATGATTGGTGTTGAGACACTGATGGGAGATGTAGCAAACAGAGCAGAAACAAGTCTGAGCCAGATTCTAAGGGTAAGCTACTGTCCAGAGAGATGGGCTCCCAGTTAGTAAACATCCCTCATAGGATACCTGTGATCCTATTTCCTTCTTGGAGTTTTGAAAGTGGGAGAAACCTTCAGTTTTATTTTCCATTTACAGGTGAGAAATGTGCTACAGTATTCTGCAAAAGGCCACAGACCTAGTTCTGTCATAGCTAAGATCAGAACCCAAGTCTTGCTCTTTTAAGTCCACATTTTTAATTTCTGCAGTCAAAATGAAATCAAGTAAAAAAAAAGCATAAAAATTTAAAGACCAAAGGAGCTTTGGGATTAAGAACTTAATTTCCTTTGGTATGCTTATGTGTCACTTTAGACAATGTACTTCTTTAAAGACCCACATAAAAGGCAATGAAATAAAATCTATCCATTATATATTTTTAAAATAGGTTCACTAACTATGGGATCAGCACTGTACTGTAGACCACAAGGTCAGCAGTTCAGTCCCACCTTGGAGTCCCTATACAGGGTCACTATGAGTCAGAACCAACTCGATGGCACTGACAACAGTGAAGACCACTCATACAGCTACTTCCTATCCTCTGGAAAGAGTATTCCTAACAGTTATCTGTTCAAAATCCCAGAAAGCTTGCTCTTTGACTGAACCCCACTGCTTGCAAACCCCCATGTAGCAAATGGAAAAAGTTGGCCACTGTACTTTCCTTACATTTCTACTTAAGATATACCTGCCTTTCTGATAAAAGTTCATAATATAAAAAATATAATTAATCTCTTGGATGTTTTGGTTATTAGGAATACTCAAGGAAAAACTTTACAGCTCAAAATAACAAAAAAAGACAACCCAACTGCCATTAAGGAAAACGCAAATTAAAACCACAAGCCAAGAAAAAGGGGAAACCCCCTAGTGAAATGGATTGGCAAAGTGGCAGCATCAATGGGTTCAAGTATGGCAACAATTGTGAGGTTGGCCCAGGACCAGGCAGTGTTTCGCTCTGTTGTGCATAGGGTTGCTATGAGTAAGCACCGGCTCGATGGCATCTAACAACAGTATCACTTCATGGATTCCTGATGTAGGATAAGCACTGGACCACAAGGCTGGTTTGGACTGCAAGGTCAAAGGTTCAAATCCCCCAGCCACTCCTTGCAAACCCTATAGGGTCTTTATGAATTGGAACCAATTTGATGGCACTTAACGTCACTTCAAGTACTGGATTGCTATCCTGAGACTTACTGAAAATATTAACACTTTCACACTAAAATATTAAAAACAAAAAAACTCTGTTGAGTTTTTCATGACAGCCATCTGAGATGTTATCCTTGGTCCTGAAAAATTCCTATTCTTGACAGGTCAAGAGATTAGAAGAAAGCAACCAACTGAATAGGCAATTACTTAAAATAATGTAGCGAGTGTTTAAAAAGCAGCAGTTTAGCGAATTGTATAGAGCCATAAGAGAGCTCTGTAGAGAGTCCATAATACCTTCTTAGGTTCTGGCTCTGCCTCCGGCTCTTCCTGTGCTGACGTGGTTGTGGGAGCAGCAATGGCGGCAGGAACGGCAGGAACGGCAGCAGCCGCAGCCTTCTCCTTCTTATGTTTTTTGTGCTTCTTGTGCTTCTTATCCTTTTTGTGTTTCTTATCCTTCTTTTTCTTTTTTTTCTTTCCACCTCCTTCTTGGTCCGAATTCTAGAAATCAAGAAGGGAAAAAGAAATAAAGTAAATCCAACTGCATTCTCCCCAATTAAACAGATTCTGTCCTCAAGGGAATTCTGAAATGAACGTATCTCAGGACTTCAGAAGGTCTCAGAGGAAATAAAATGTCTAAGACCAATCATCACCCAGAAAAGAATTCCCTTAACTGACATATGAAAATAAGTATACTTTTAATAGATTCTAAGACTATATCTGGGGAGTCCTGTGTAGGATAACGCAGGCTGCTAACCAAAAGGTCAATGGTTCAACCTTACCAGCCACTCCTCAGACCCTTTTACAGGATCACTATGTGTAGGAACCAACAAACAGCACTTAACAAGATCAGACCTGAGTTGAATTCTACCTCCTGCACTTATTAATCCCAAAATGGATCTGAACTCCTGGTGTGGCACTGTAGGATACACACACTTGACTGCTAACCCGAAAATCAGTGATTTACAGCCACCAATCAACCATTCCTCTGAAACTTAACAATGCAAGGAGTATAATAATGTTGCTGTTAAATCCCAGTGTGCGCATTGTAGGATAAGCACTAGACTGCTAACCACACAGTAAGTTTCAAACCCACCAGCTGCTCCTAGGAAAACCTATGCAAGGTGCGTATGAGTTGGAACCGACTCAATGGCACTTAGCATCAACAAAATAGTTACGAGAACTAAATAAGAGTATCTGTAAATCATCAAAGTTGCTGTCCTGATATGTAGCAGGCTCTTCTTAATGATGCCAGCTATTACTCTAAATACATATTTGTATTAACACCACGTCTAAGTCTCCCAGTGACCTCTCCTATATTTAGTGGGTTTGGTTTGTTCTTTCATTGTGTATATAAGGGATTTCAAAAGTTTGTGGAGAAATCCCATTATCTTCCATTTCAGTTTCTACTATCATTTTTGAAGCTCCTTGTGCAAAAGACAGGCTCTACTATGACCGAGGAGTCCTGGTGTGGTGCTGTGCGTTAATACACTGGACTGCAAGGTTGGTTTGAACTGCAAACTCAACCTCAGTGGTTCAGCTGCTCCTCGGAAACCCTATACAGGATTGCTATGAATCAGAATTGCCTCAATAGTACTTAATAACAACAATCACTGAATTCAGAGTGGTTATACGAGTTGGACTGTTAACCTCAAGGTCAGCAGTTCGAAATGTCAGCTGTTTCACGGAAGAAAGATGAGGCTTTCTGCTCCCATAAAGATTTATAGCCTCAGAAACCCTATACAGGGTCGCTCTGAGTTGGAACCAACTCCATAGCACATAACCACCACTACCTTTTCATTTTACACTTCATATTTCAAAGTAATTACTCATAATCCATTCAGTTAATTTGGGTAACCATTTATTCAGTCCTCCTGTTGACAGAGAAAAAGAATTGCGCACTTGGTAGTTAACCAAAAGGTTGGTATAGTTCAAACTCACCCAGTGTCTTTGCCTAGGAAACCGTACGAGGCAGTTCTGTTACAACATTGGGTCATTATGAGTTGGTTTCAACATCAACTCAAGGGCACCTAACAATTAAGAAAGATACCTAACCACTAATTTTACACAATATAGAAACCTGCCCATAGTTGAGTCCCCAATGCAATGATACCAAAAGTTTTAAAATGCCCCCAGACCACACACACAGACACACAAATACTAACCATACACAAAGGCAGAACATACCCTTGCCGGTGATAGACTTGGTGTTGGACTTTTAGCCTTTTTGACTGGTACCGCTGGTGACCAGTTTGTAGAGGGTGACTGAGACTGGATGGGAGATGGGGGTGCTTGGGGTTTTTTAGCAGCTGGCTCAGGAGATCCTGAGACAGACCGAGAGGATGAGACCCTCCTTACAGACTGTGGGCTTGGTGAGGCAGCCCTAGACACAAGAGAGAAAAAACAATTAGCATCTTAGAACAGAGATCTTGATGAGAATAACCAAGTCACAAACTTCAATTGCTGTACAGCACTTACATGTTAACTGACTTAACAGATTTATATCTTAAACTTAACTAAGCACCATATATTTGGCTCCCACAATCCTCTACTCTATAAATGATGCTTTCTCTTTATGAAATTAGTAAATGTTAGTTCCTTACACTGTATCTAAGACTGCTTTCATCAGTGCTACATGGACACAAAAGAAATGTTCTGTGTCACTTTAGAATTAAGTTTTGGAAGCACATCCTTTAATAAGCAATCTAATTTATGCTATAAGTAACAATACAAGGAGCTCTGGTAGTGTAGAAGTTACGAATTGGGCTGCTAATCTCAAGGTCAGCAGTTCAAAACTACCAGTGTGGTCCCACGGGAGAAAGATGAGGCTTTCTGCTCCCGTAAAGATTTACAGTCTGGGAAACCCTATGTGCAGGATTGCTATGAGTCAGAACTTATTCACAGAAACCTGTGAATCTAGAATTTGCCTCAAAAACAGCTTATTCCTCTTCTCCTAATTTAACAATATAAAATAAATAAAAACCTTTCCAAATATAAAGAGCTATGCAAGTTAATATTTTTAATCAAAGAGCATAAAATATTTTTACTTTTTTGTCTTTTTAGGTTCCGGAGTCCTGGAGACTCTCCTAATGGGTCTAATACTTGGAGAAGGGGACTGCCTTCTTTGGGGTGATGATGAAGCTCCTCTTCGAATAGGGGGACTTGAGGTGGTCTGAGGAATTCGAGGCCGTGGTGAGGGCGAATGCCGTTTGTTTGGTTGTGGTGACCGGGTCTCCCGGGTTGATCGGCTTGGGGAAGCCCCTTTCCTATGCTTTGACGACAGTGAAGGTGAGCGTCTCTTTGTGGTAACTGGGGAGCTCCTTTGTTTGGGAGGTGGAGAATGAGAAACCCTACGCTTTGGTGGTGGAGAGGGGGATGCCCTTCGTTTTGGAGGAGGAGGAGGAGAGGCCGTTCTTCTCTTTGGAGGGGGAGAGGGAGAATATCTCCTCTGTATTGGAGGAGAGTATCTTCTTGGGGAAGGTGAGCGCCGACGTGGGGGAGGAGAAGGAGTCCTAGGAAAAAACAGGCAACACTAAGCTGAAAGATCCAAGAGAGTAAGGAAAGAGAATACAAAGAAAATAAGCCGATAGTATAGTTAGCACTAAAAATAGAGCTTATTTATTAGTGGACATGCTTTATCCTTAAAGTGAATTTACAGTTTCACAAATAATTCAAATGTGTCAAGTCATTTAATACATCTCTATGGGATGAAGGTAATGTTTTTAAAGAGACTCTTGTATTGCTTTTTAAGTGAAAACTCTTATCAATTATTATAACATAGTAACTAGAAAACTCAATTATAGTGAGGGACTCAGGAAGGCTGTGCTTTAAAAAATTCTCCTATGCAGTTTCCTCCCTGATGGCTTCTGGACTCTATTAATAATTGAGTGCCCTGCACACGGCTTTAAAGATACTTTTACCCTCCCCTCAAGAGAGATGGTTCCATTCTCTTTTCAATGGAAGTGTACTGGTAGGCAGATGCATCCCTTTCAAAGCCCAGCTAGTGGTGAACCAGCCTTATCCTCAAGTTGCACAGACCTGAACATAACATTCAGGCCCAGCTGCCTAGTTTTGTGGAGTATCTTTCAGAGTTTCAGCTCAAAAGAAATACTTTCCTGCCTGTAATAAAACTGACAATGGTCCTTATTGTCCACGCAATTTGGAAGAGTGCAGTTCCACTGCTGCTTCCTTTCTGTCACTATAAATTCGCCTATTCTGGATTTTTCACTGAATGGGATAATACGCGTTCTTTATGACTAGCTGAGCAGTGCCACTTTAAAAAAATTATTTTAATCATAAAGACCCAGACTTGTATGGCGATGGTCTCTCCGTTGCTTGAGGCCCAATTCCCCTACTAACGCATCTGAGAAAGTACCTTCGCCGTGGTGGTGGTGTGGGAGACCTGCGTCGCCGAGGAGGAGGAGCCGGAGAGGGAGAACGTCGCCTTCTGGTAGGAGGTGGGGAAGGACTTCTCCTCCGCCTACCACTAACCCAAAATCAAAAGAAGAATTATAGCTGATTTTCTAAGTCAGTGACATTTAGAATTAAGAGAGCTTGCAAACACAGTTTCAATCAAAAGCTGTTACTATATGCTGCAACGTAGTTGTTTCTCAAACTACAGACCAAAACCCTTTCGTTGTGACCCAGAGTGTTTCCCTGTGTGAGGCGTTAAGCACTGATTTGTGCAGCAGTGTCCCTGTCTGTGGCGAGGAGATGAACAAATGCCTTAGTGCCAGAAGAACTCAATGCTTTCCTATAGAAACATGAAAGTTGACTTGTCCCCACTGACTTAAGACCCCAAATCTGGGTATCACTATTTCAAGTTCTCAATTATTTTCAGGTTCTCTCCTCCATTCAAGGAATTCTAGTTCACTATAAAATGTCAAGGTTTTATAGTCACATGGACACTTGAAATAACTTTTAACATGTAAGTCTAATTCATAAAGTTGTGTCTAACCAACCTTTTAGTCATTGGCGATTGCCATCGCTTTCCCATCTGCATCCTGAGAGCAGTGGAGAAAAATAAATGTCATGAATGCCATTCACTAAATTATTTACTATTGATGGAGCTAATTAACATGAACAGAGGTATTTGTTACAGTGTTCAAGGATGTTCAGGGGCTTATACTATGATTTAATGCTTTCTTCTATTCCTCTAGTCACACACATTTAAGACTAGGTGGTACAAAACTTATCCAGTGACTCATGAATGGTAATAACTGCCTGCCAAAAGGGAAATTAATAGCAACAAAAAAAAACCCAAAATATAACTGACCACCTTCTAGTAGAGTCCTTAAAATAAATGAGTTAATTAAATCCTAAAATAAAGCCAATATAACCTACGCTCCCTTAAATTAGGAAGTTTCACTGTAACTAGACAGCAGCAGCACCAGGTAGGACTATTGAAAAAAAAGACACATTACCGAGGGGAAGTCTCTTTTTGACGTTTTCGTGGTGATGGAGAGGCACTCCGGGAAAGAGAATGTCTCCGCCGCCTGCCTACCTCACCATTTTTCACATGGGACCTCTTGGGTCGCTCATCTTCTGAAGAAGACGAAGAGCCAGAGTCTATATAAATACACAAGTAAGAAAAAACTACATTAGTCTATGCTTAAAATGCTACCACACATCTGTCAGTTTTTGTTGTACTGTTGTGGCTCGCTTGTTGCTGTGATTCTGAAAGCTTTTCCACCAGTATTTTAAATACCAGCAGGCTCACCTATGGTGGGCAAGTTTCAGATGAGCTTCCAGACTAAGACAGACTAGGAAGGAGAGAGACTACTTTAGAATATTTAGTCGCTACAAACCTTAAGAATAACAGTGGAACACTGTCAGGTACCACCAGAATATTGAATATGATGAACTCCAGAATATTGTCAAATTTAGTGCTGGAAGATGAACTCCTCAGGTTGAAAGGTACTCAAAATACAACTGGGGAAGAGCTGCCTCCTTAAAGTAGACTTAAAATATTTTTTGATGAAGATCAAAGACCACAGTCTTCAGTATGGGTTGCAACTCAGTATAAAGCAAACAAAAGTCCTCACAAGTGGACCAATAAATAACATCTAGATAAAAATGGAGTCCTGGTATGACACCGTAGGATAGGCAACAGAATGCTGATACAAAGGTCATCATTCAAACCCACCAATTGCTCCTCAGAAACCCTATCAATGTCACTGAGTCAAAATAGACTTGACAGCACTTAGCAACATGCGTGGTCCTGGTGCGGCACTGTGGGCTAATGCACTGGACTACAAAGCCAGTTTGAACCATGGGTTGATGGTTCAATCTCACCAGCTACTCCCTGGAAACCCTATACAGGGTTGCTATGGGTCGGAACTGACTCAAAAGTGCTTAACAACATGCTTAAAAGAGGGTCCAAGTTTTCTAAATCTAAGTAGATGACTAGATTGTCCAAATTAGCAAGTCTACTAATGTAAGCAGGCATGGTATAAATATCGGTTCTGAACAGAGGCTGTATTGATATTCAATGACTTCAAAGCCAATCATAATTGTTCTTGAATAGAAATGATAGTAATCATTCTCACAATACAATCCAGTCGAGAAGACACAAATATTCTTTAGAAGGCTAATTCTTCAAAAAACTACCTAATGGTTTAAAAGCACCTCAAACAATTACCTGATTGTTACTGTGCATTTCTAAAACTACTTAAGGCTGCTGGTTCAAACCCCCCGACCACGCCTTGGAAACCCTGTTGTTAAGTGCCCTCAAGTGACACCAACACTTTTGAACTGCTGACTTGTGGTTCAAAGTCCAGTTCTACTCCTACAGTACCACTCCTATGAGTTGGAACTGACTTGATGTCACCAAACAGCAGCGATGTTCTATTCAGATTTTGCTAAATTATTTCTATATCCTTAACATTTATTCAAAAGAATAAAAAATGCAGGCGGCATTGTCTACATGCCTATTAGCAAATCCTGTTGTTGGTTAAGTGCCTTCGATTTGGTTCCAACTCAGTGACTCTGTATAGGGCTTCTGAGGCAGGAGCAGACAGGCTCATCTTTCTCCGCGTATAAAACATTCTAAACACCAATAAAAATACCTATTTTTTCAAATGATTTCATGATGGTTTCCATCTGTCTGTGGTCTTTTCATAAATGTAAAGCAAAGGTAGAACCTAGACACTGTCACAAGCACCAAGTAAGCTAATAAAAGAAGAGTACCCGCGGTTTCCATTTATGGATCCTTGGATCCAGCAATTCATTCTGATCATTTATAAATTTGCCCAGACCCACACACACATAAATTGTAGTGTTCATTTTATGTTCCTCCATTCCATTTTAAAGGAGCCTTGAGGGAACTATAAAATAAGTCCTGGGCTACTAACCAAATGGTCAGTGGTTCAAATCTACCAGCTGCTCCACAGGAAAAGATGAAACTATCTGCTCCCGTAGAGATTTTGTTTAAGAAACTCAAAGGAACAGAATTTGAATCTGTCCTCTAAGGTTGCTGTGAGTCAGAATCAACTAGAAGGCAGTGAGTTTTATTTTTTTGAGGAGCCCTGGTGGCACTGTGGGTTAGGTGCTGAGTTGCTAACTACAAAGATGGTGGTACAATCCGTCAGCTACTCCTTGGGAAAAAAAATAAAGTTCTCTATTCTCTTATAGACTTAGTTTCTTAAATCCTATATAGAGTTGAGTAAATTCAACCACAGTGGGTTTTGTTTTGTTTAGATTGTTTTAATCTAAGGATCTATTACAACGTAAGTTAAAAAAATTATTTAAAAACAAAAGGAAAAGGGGGGAAGAAAGACAAAACGTTTAAGAGACACAACAGAATTTCTGTTAACAGGTGATAGAAAGAATTAAACAGTTAAAATTAAGGACTGAGTAACTGTACATGTGAAGATAGTTGATACAGCAAATGGTTATTATTCATTCGGTGAATGAGAACAGTATACAACACTCACAGGAGACAGGTGGTGAGAGTCTAAGACACATCAACATACAATCATCAATTAAATATGACAACCCCACAATGTCCGGGAAACAACAGATAATTTCACATGAAGAAACAAGAGAGAATGTGCTCACACAAATGACCAAGATACAGAGCCAGAAAATGTTTCAGAGGAAGGAAAGGTAATAGAACTAACTGAAAAAGAATCTAAAGAATGATATTTAGGTCCCTTTCAAACGACTGCCAAAAAAAATTGAGGAATCAAGGAGAACACAGAAAAAAACTTTAGAATTCAGGAAAATATTGCAAGTACAAGTAGACACAACAAATGAAAATTCTGAAGCAATCCAAAACCTATAATTAGAAATCCAGAAATGGACAATACACTGAAAAGGCAAAGGAGTTGACTTTAAGCAAGGAAGCCCAAATTACTACACTTGTCCTAGTATGCTAGAAGAACAATCAGAAAAAAATCTTAAGAAACCCTAAGAGTTACAAGACACCATGAGGAGAACAACTTATGGGTGATCAGAATTCCAGAATAGGAAGAGACGAAAATCACCAAGACATATACCATAATCAAACTTTCTAAATCCAAGACAAGGAAAGAATTCTTAGAGTGGCTCTGGAAAAATGCAAAGTTATTTACAAAGAGAACCGGTAAGACTAAACTCTGATTTCTAAGACAAGACTAAGTTTTGATTTCTCAGCAGACATCAGCAGGGAAAATGGTAATTTGGTGACATACACAAAACTCTCAAAGAAAAAAATTGTCAACCAAAAGTCATATACCCAGGAAAGGTGTCCTTCTAATATAATGGTGAAATTAGGATGTTTCCTGATGAGCAGAAATTAAAGGAATTTGTAATGACCTTCACAAAAAAAAAAAAAAAAATGCCAAAGGGAGTTTTTGGACTGAGAACCAACCAAAGACAACAACCTCAGATAACCATACATGACAATACCACTCAAAACTCAAGCCAGATATAGAAGTATTTAAAGTAAAGCAAACCGAGAACAGGCAGCCAGAGCCATCAATTTATAATAAAATCAACATCAAAGCAAAAAGAGGGAATAGCGCAGATATAGAAGTTCCAAATGGCAAGGAAGTCATGTGTATTTCAAGATAAAATAAGACTGTTTTAAACGGGGGGGGGGGGGAAAGAGAAAACGTGCTGCTGAAGGATAAACACTGGACTGCAAGGCCAGTTTGAACACCAAAGTTGACTGTTCAAACTCACCAGCTGCTCCTTGGAAACCCTATACAGTCACTATGAGTTGGAACTAACTCAACAGCACTTAACAACATCAAAATTAAAATCTGTTGTGGTGTTAAGTGCTGTCAAGTCTATTCTGACTCATACCAACCCTGTACAGGGTTTCCAAGGAGCAGCTGGTGGGGTGGAACTCCAGACTTGTGGTCTGCCATCCAGTACTGATCCTACAGCACCACAGTAGGAGTCCTTGCTAAACATGAACACAACAGAAATGAAAGAGAGAAGAAAACCCAGAAACAAAATGAACTCACTACAGAAAATGATGAGGAATAAAGAAACCACACACACAAACAGCAAAGCAGCAACTAATTTATACTGACAATTACACTGAATGTAAAAGGATCAAACACACCAGTCAAAAGACAGAGCAAAATGGAGAAGAAAATGGTACTTCAATATACTGTCTACAAGAGACATATCAAAAAGATGGAGCTAGCTTAAATGCCCATCAACAGAAGGTTAAACCAACTTTGGTACATACAGTAGAATACTCTGCCCCTCTGAAGAGTATAGATGAAACTGCAAAATAACTTCACAACATGGATGAATGTGGAGGACATCCATGTTGAGTGAAATTAGTCAACCACAAAAGGATAAATATTGTATGAGACCAATGTAAAAAGTTAAGAAAAGAAACATTCTATGATGGCTATCAGGAATGGAAGGGATGAGAAAACTATTCACTGGTTGATACACATTACTTTGGATGATGGAGAAGGCAATACACAAGAGGGAGGTTTGCAGAGGAAAGATGAAAGTAGTGGGAAACAGGGAAGAATACAAGAGTTAAAAGAGAATAGAGGTAAATACTATTTTTAATCCCTAATTGTTGTTATTAAGGAGCTCTGGTAACGTAGTGGTTACAAATCGGACTGCGAACCTTAAGGTCAGCGGTTCAAAACTACCAGCCGCTCCGCGGGAGAAAGATGAGGCTTTCTACTCCCGTAAGGATTTACACCCTCGGAAACCCTGTACAGGGTCGCTATGGGTCGGAACCGACTCGACGGCACTTAACAAAAAAAAACTAACAGAGGTAAATACTGTTAACCCTTGGTACATGGATGGGATTACAGTCATTGTAATGAATCAAAGTGTATATACATTGTTAAACTGATGTGTATATACATTGTTAAACTGATGATCTGCTCGGTAAACTTTCACATATTTCACCAGCTTTTAAAAAAAAAAAAAAAATCACTACAAATGGCATTTACATCTAAAACGTTCATCTGGAAACACAAGGAGGAAAATGTTAAGAATCAGTGTACATACCAGATGAAGACTGCTGGTTTTGTCGCCTGTATTGGCGTCTCTGCTGCACAGAATCTGCTGCTGCCATTTTGCCACCTTTATCTTCTTCTGAAAGAAGGATGCATTTAGAAAGTGCTCCTTTAGTTTTGCATACAGAACACGTAAGTTAGGTGAACAGAGTTTTATCTGGTTGGGTCAAACAACACAACTAATTTTGCTGTTGTTGTGTTAACAAAGAAAGGGCTTAAGATGTCAACTTAAATTTACTGTCACCAAAAGTAACAAAACATGCATTTACTACTGGTTTGACTGGTTTCTGAGCACTTAAAAAAAATATTATTTTAATTAACTGTCATGAACCTAATGTATGATAGTGTTATTATGCACTTTGAATTAACTGTTAATGCTGTTGTTAATGTTGTGAAGTGTTGTTAAGGCATTAAATCTTTGCGGGAGCAGAAAGCCTCATTTTTCTCTCAGGGGAGTGGCTGGTGGCCTTGAACCATCGACCATAGGGTTTGCAGCCCATTGCTTTTCGTATGGAGCCACTGCACTCCTTGAATTGATTAGAGAAATGTAATTCATATAAATGAGACAACAACAGCATCTAAAAAGTGGTTAAATGGGGCTGGGAATTCAAACCAGGCTTGCCTGACTTCAGATCCTGGCTCTTAATCTCTAAGTCACAACCTGTAATTAAGACTTCAACCAAATGTACATGTCCAATTCACCGTAAAAAATATAAAAAACAAAATAAAACTTACCCGATTCAGATAACTCTACTTTTCTAGGCTTGGGTGCTGGTGAAGGGGACTCTCTTTTCTCTACAACTTTGTGTTTTGTCACTAAAAAAGAAATGGTAGTGTGTTAAGGGAGAAATATTTACGAAAAAATAAAGGCTACACACAACAGAATGCCTTCATTTTCAAATTATAGTTTAACATTTGGGTAGCTAAAAATCATTCTGAACAAATTTTTCCAATTTGTAACGTTTTCTAAATTACAGAAAAGCATTATTAGTCTCAAAGAACTAAAGAATTTTTTATTCCTATAAGATCTGTGAAGTCCTGGTGTGGCGTTGTAGGATAAGCACTAGACTCCAAGGTCTGTCTGAACCACAAACTTGGCAGTTCAAACTCACCAGTCGCTCCTCAGAAACCCTATACAGGGTCTCTATGCATCGGAACCCACTCGACACTAAACAACCTAAGACCTGTGACCAACTGAAATAAAAGATCTACAACGATTCCTGGATCTTGAGATTCTCCCAGGAAAACACTGGCTGGACGGCAATATAGTTACTAACAAACTTTATATAAACCCTACAACCTATAACACACATAATATTCAACTCTGTAGGGCTTCAAAATGATTTCACACATCCATTCAACGTGGGTTCTGAAAAGTAATAAAGATGACAAATGATCAAGATAAAAGACCTGACGAAATGTGCATATTTGGTCTGAAGAAGGGGAATGAATTAGCCACTCAAGTAGCACAGAAAGCTCTACACGGAACGTAATCTTCACAGTAGCAAGAAACTTCTCTGAAGGGGAAGAGCTTAAAGATTAAAAAAGAAACCGAGCAAGCAGCTCTGTGACAAATCAAAGAAACAGCTGAGTACTTTATGATCTTCCCAACCTTTTTTCTCCCAACTGCATGAATGAGTATTATCCAGGTGACTGCTTCTGTATCTTGCTACGTTACTTGTTGTTAAGTGCCATGGAGTTGGGTCAGACTCATAGCGACCCTATATAGGGTGTCCGAGACTATACATCTTTATGGGAACAGAAAGCCTCATCTTTATCCCAGAGCACAGCTGGTGGGTTCAAACTGCCAACCTCGTAAGTCACAGTCCATTGTAGTTGGCAGTCCAGTGCTTGCATATGGAGCCATCACACTCACCTATTATGTTGTGTTGTTAAGTACCGTGGAGTTGGTTCAGACTCATAGTGACCCTGCACAGGGTTTCGGAGGCTGTAAATCTTTATGGGAGCAGAAAGTCTCATCTTTCTCCGGCAGAATAGCTGATAGTTTCTAAATGCTGACCTTGAAGTTAGCAGCCCGATTCGTATCCACTATGCTTCCAGAGCACCTTCTCACCTATTATAGGTATTGTTAAACACTGATGCTTAACAATATCACCACTGCGCCCCACCTGCAACCCATCCCAAGGAGAAACTGAGGTTTAAAAAGAAACAAGTCACACCAATAATTTGAGCAAGGATTTGAACCCAAAACCTCCTTTTTCTCAAGCTCTCCTGGTGTGGCGCTGTACATCAGAACTGGACTATATGAACCAAAAGTTTGGTGGTTCAAACCTAACATCTGCTCCTCGGAAACCCAGTACTGAGTTGCTATGAGTCAGAATTGACTCAAGAGCCCTTAACAACAACCAATACTACTATTTCTTACATCTGTTTGTTGGCTTCAACTATATCCATATTTCTCATGGATAACTCATATATCCCATGTGTCAAGAGTAGAACTGTGCTCCCTACAGTTTTCAATGACTAATTAATTAGGTCTTTCTCCCAAGGTGCCTCTGGGTGGCCTCAAGTCCCCAATCTTTCAGTTATAGCACCACCTAGGGACTCCTATGTCTGTACATAATCACTAATCTCACCACGAGAGAGCCATCCCTTTGAGATCTGGAACTTGAAGATTGTATGATGCCCCCAGGTTCCGTACCAGTTGTTTGATCAGCACAATTACATAGAATGTCTGACCTAGAACGCACATAACATAGCTATCTCTCATTTAAACTAGTCAAACTGGAGAATTTCCATGATAATTTTTCAACCAGCTGCATTTTATTCATGATTCCACCCAATAATTTAAGGAGCTCTGGTAGCATAGTGTTATGAAGCAGGCTGCGAACCACAAAGTCAGCAGTTTGAAACTACCAGCTGTTCTGCGGGAGAAAGATGAAGCTTTCTGCTTCCTTAAAGATTTACAGCCTGGGAAACCCTGTACAGGGTTGCTATGAGTCGGAACTGACTCCACGGCACATAACCACCACCACCTAATAAGCTACTTGGACAGACCCTTAAAATGAGGGTGGCAAGACTTGGCCTCATGAACTCTGGACATGTCTTCAGGAATGACCAGTCCCTGGAGAAGGTCCTCATGCTTGGCTAAGCAGAGGATGGGTGTAAAAGATAAAGACCCTCAAAGTGGACTGACACAGTGGCTACAACAATGAGCTCAAATCAATGATTATAAATTAAGCTAATACTTCAATAAGTGTCTGTATTTGGCCAAAAGAGTTTTGTACAGTGATGATGGTTTAATTTTTAGTATGTAAAGAGAAAATTCTAGCACAAAACAAGAAATCTTCTAAGAAGTTAACTGAGAGGGAATAAAAAAAAACTAAAAACCTAGAATTTTAAATTCATTTCAGTAGTTACACTAATTAATCTCTGAGACTTGGCCCAAAAATCACTTATAAATATCACTCTTTGGTCAGAATCAGCAAAATTCGTAAGTGCTTGCACAGAACCTAATTTATCACTAGATCCAAATGAATTCCAAATTACCACTACCACATGTACGGATATACTAGCAGCAAAGAAACACCATTTTATAGATTACTTAAGATAACAATTTAACTATGACATGCCACTGATTACACTTCTAAAGATAATTTACCCCTAAGGATTTCTGGTGTGGCAACGAAGGATCAGTATTGGGCTGTGAACCACAAGGTTAGTGGTTCAAATCCACCAGCTGCTCCCTGGAAATCCTAAATAGGGTTGCTCTGAGTCAAAACCAATTAGATGGCCCTAAACAATAAGCAGTTCCCGTAATCACTTTTTTTCCTGTCTTCCTCTGATTCTCTTTGCTATCCAAAATACAAGGTTCCCCACTATTCAAAGGGGAGACCTAAAGCTTCAATTTCTTTAATTGCTATGTATGGGAAACCATCTACAGCTATAGTAGCCTGAATGAACCCTATTTAATCTGATCTAGGAAGCTAAGCAGGGCCAGGCCTACTTAATATTTGGATGGGAGACTGCCTGGGAATATGGGGCGCTTAAGGGCAGAGTCCTGGTGTGGCGCTGTAGGTTAATGTGCTAGACATGTTTGAACCGCAAGGTCGGTGGGTCAAGGTCAAGCTCACCAATTTGCTCCTCAGAAACCTTATACAGGATTGTTATGACTCGAAACCAACTCGAGGGCACTTAACAACATAGGCTAAAGGGCCTCGGGGGCCTGTGGGTTAAGACTTGTAGACACAGATCAGGTTGGATGTTCCCATTTTTAGTTCCAGAAAGCCTATATAGCGTCACTATGAATAGGAATCAACTAGATGGCAGTGGGTCTAGTCTGGGGGAGATACAGGTGTACAAAGTTGTATTATGTTTCAATGGTGTTACTGCTTATTAGCCATGGAAACGGCAAAGGCATTTCTGTAATCATACTTCCAGGTATAGTAGCTGAACAATTTCTCCCTTCCCTCTACCTCCCTCTAACAGAAGCTAAAGTAGTACTTTGGGGTAGAAAAGTTGGAAAAGGGAATATATGCGAAGGGGATTCAAAAGTCCATGGAAAAAACAGAAAGAAAAGTTAATAGTTTTTCATGGACTTTTGAAGGCCCCTCATTATTATTCAATAAGAACGAGAACTCTTAAAACTCTAAGTCCTGGCTGACTAACCTTGACCAAGTGACTGAACCTGTCTGAGAACCTGTTTGTTGAGGACAGTATCTAACTCTACAATTTCATTAGAGGACTGGAATCATTTTAAGAGAAAAGGCTGTTTTCCCAGTTACTCAAACCCAGTAGCTTCAATGAATACTAGGCAGCCTCTGACTATAACTCTAGCCTATAATGTGAATCCTTGACTGGGGTTGTTTAACAAGAAGTTCTGTCCCAGAACACAAACCAACCAGTCCCTTGTTTTTTACCATTATACAATGCAAACAGAGAAATCATAGCTTGATTTTAGTTTCCACCAAAAAACTGTTTAACAAAGGACAGAAACACTCAAAAGTGCAAACATTTTACAGGAACAACAACAAAAAAAGGTCAGGACAATGGGCACCACATTTAGTCGAGACTAGAAACCACGGATGGGCTCAAAGTTTCCCATTTTTGAGCAAACAGGATTATGGGAATGTGAGGTTATGAAATCATGATCCTGAATCCCTATTAACATTCTTGAATGAAGTATGACCCCAGAAGCAAGTTTCTGCTCTCTCATTCAGCTTCCCGTCTAGGTTTAACGATCCAATGCACCAAAAATAAATGTATATTGTTAATGTGTCACCAGCATAATTTAATGTAAAACTCAGAAAATCACATATATACAACTCTTCATGGATTATGACTAACTGCTAGTTCCCATCACTCTGATTGCTGGTCTCGACCTCAATGAACAGAGATCAAAAACCAGTAATGCACACTGTATTAGGGGAAAGATTTAACACAGCAGGCTGGCTTAATAGAAAACGTAGACTCAATAAGCTCACTGAAATGTGTAGCTGAAATTCTGCCCATCTCCAGTTTCATTTATACCATTTAGATCTGACCAAAACCACACCAGTATGTTTTAACCTAAAGATTGGCTCCTTAAACTCCAACTGCTTCCCCTCCTCTACTACTCAGCTTTCAGGCACTCTGCTTCATTTCAGCCCTAAACACCAGGAGTCTGATTCAAATAGAGCCTATAGTTTTTCTCCAGGTGTATACCAAAAGAATAGGCTTTTGTTATACAGTAGACTAGAAGCTTCACTCAGACTAACACAGCATTCTACTTGCCTTACAGGATCACAGATCATAAATCCCTCAGAAACCAATCTGCAGAATAAAGCAAGGACAACACTCAGAAGAACCTGCCTGGAGCCTAAATTAAAAACAAAAAACAGTTCTAAGAGGATACCCCATGTCTTTCCCTTGGGAGTACAATGTGGCCAAGAAAGAATTATAATAGAATATAAAGTCCTGAAGTAAAACACCAAACAAAAAATCTTGGGTGAAAAACAAAATAACTGCCCTCAGTAATCAAATGATCCTATCCTCTAACATATCAACATAAGCTCTGGTAAGTTACTCTCAAGTCAAACAGCCCATGACTGGTAATATTTTTCTGCACTTATTCAATGTCAGAGGGCATAGCTCAAATAATACACTTTTACCTAAAAACCTTATTTAACAATGCAAGACACAAAAGGAAAGCCCCTTTACAGAGAACACTGCACACAAATCACCCAGTTACTTCACACTTTGAGACTGGCTAGTGGGCCGTAACCAATTATCCATTTTGTAGCCAAACAACCAAATAAAGAACGTAGAGTCTGTATGTGCTTGATTTTTACCTTTACCTGAACTTCTTCCTGGAGAGACAGAAACACGACTTTTTCGTGTACGGTTTGACTGCTGGGGTGTTGGAGAATGACGAGTTTTGGGCGGTGGAGTTGCTGGAGGTGATGGTCGGTGTCGTCGCCGAGGAGGACTTGCTGAAGGAGATAACCTACGAGTCTTCCGAGGGGGGCTGGATGTCCTCTTGGGTGGCTTCTTTGGCGGAGACCGGGAACGAGACGAAGAGGATGATGAGCTACTCCCAGACAAAGATGCTGATGAGCGCCTTCTTCTGCGAATTAAAGTATTCATATTCACTAATTGCATACTTAGAAAGAATTACCTTACAGGTATGTACAGTTTATATAAAAACTCAGCTATTTTATCCAACTTTTGAGTTTATGTAGCTAAGCACATGAGTCCCCCCAAAATCAGCAAAAACAAAAATTAAACCCAGGACAGAAATAGCTAATTCTAAAGCTAACTATAAACGAAAATATTCTGATAATGCTTCTGTTTGATTGTCTCCCCAATTATAAAATATGTCATGGCGAGTACTAGAATACAAACAATCAGTCTCTTTCTTCCTTAGGAATGCTATCAGTGTTTTGGAGTTTGCATACAAAATTTGGATGTAAAATATTTTCCATTTAATAATATACATTGTCAAAGCAACATTTAAGTTGCATTAAAAAAAAAAAAGTAGATGTGCAAGATTAGGAATTCGTTTAGCTACATAAACTTAGAAGCAGGGGACTCTCGAATTCTGCGGCAAAATTTGTGGTAAGTTCTGTTGCAATTATGTGTACCTGCAGAATTCACCTTTGGCAGAAGAATTCCTGAGAACCTGAAAAAAAGAAACCCTACCTTAAGTGTGAGACAAAAACTGGCTGAAAGGGAATCTTACACAATCTGCAAAATATTCTGACTGCTAGATGATTTAGTAAGCAAATTAAAACATGCCGTTTGCAAAACTCCACTGTAAGAAATAGCGGTTTCCGTTAAACTTGTACTAGATGGCACCAGCACCATCAATTTTAGAAGTGATGTCTGAATTTACTGACCATTTACATCACTAGTCTCATTTAACAGTAGTAATAGTAATTCTTAAATTTTTAACTGTTTATTAAGTGCTGTCAAGATGGTTCCAACTGATAGTAACTATGGATAGGGTTTCTGAGAAATGGCTGGTGGGTCTTAACCGCTGACCTTGCAGTTACCAGTCCAGTGCTTATTCTACAATGTCACACCAGAACTCTTAACTTTTAATAGTGGAAGTAAATGACAAACTCAAGAAAATAATTTAAAAATGAAGACTCTGAGAGACCTCAGTCTGCAGAACAAAAGAAACTATGTGGTGCTTATTTGACACCTCCCCTCTTTGTTTTCAAGTTTATTTGGTTTTCTAAACAGTCATTTGACTCAAAATGATATTAAGTATAACCTGACACACACTCACAGTTCTTTCCAAAAGAGATGAAATTGATTGTCAAGAAAGCATAAAAACTCTGCTACCAATGTACTAGGCTTCTACTCTGAGATTTAATTGTTTTTATTAAAGTGACAATTTAAGGAAACACAACTCATACTGGCAGGTTTACACCTAATCTCTTAAAAAAAAAAAAAAAAAAAAAAAATGAAGACACTAAACTATTAATAATGGATACTTCTATAGAATAGACTATAGACAACCTTCCCTTTCTTATTATCAGTTTCAATGATTTATCATAAACACTGATTATCACTATAATGAGAAAAAAATCCTAAACAAAAGTATAGCAGACATGGCCTGTAGCCGGTCGCTTTTCAAAAGTCAGTTGCAAGTTTAAAGCAAAGGAAGAGCAAAAATGGCTAATTCCTTTATTGGATGGTAACGATTTCTTGATGATATATGAAAACATAAAAATTTACAAAGTTTATCATTAAGCTGGTGAATTTTGTTTTACTTTACAACACTGGACTAGACCTTTTACGTAATAGCACATTTTAAATGACTTCCACTCTTTAGAAGACTTATCTGATATTACTTATCAGTTCTTCTCTTCCCCGAGGAGATATTAATCCAAAGATTCTACCAAAATAAACTAACGGCACACTTTCAGGCACTCGACACTTGTTAATTTAAAATAGGAGAGGAGGGGAATATCTCACCGTCTCACTGGAGATCTACTCCTTCTATGCCTTGGTGGAGGAGGCATCCGTCTTGGTGGAGTCCTTCTTCGAGGAGATGGCCGCCTTCTTGGGCTAGGGCGCCTTCTAGGTGAGTATGATCTGTTACAACAAACAGAAGGACCTGAATACATCTGAAGTAAGGAACCTATTTCTTGACATAGTTTTCTCAACGACCACACTTTAAACACGAATTTGAAGGGACATAAATTTCTGTGTAGAGATTTTTATGGTACACAGAAAATCAATGCCCTCAAATTTTCTATGTGGAATCCATAGAAAATATTGTTTCGGGGATTCACTGAGTGGCACAAATGGTTGCTGGACTCTGAACAAAAAGATTGGTGATTCCAGTCTACCCAGGTATCCCTCAGAAGTTAAAGCCTGGATATCTGCTTCTGAAAGGTCACAGTACTAAAAACCCTATGGAGCAGTTCTCTGCATGCTTGGGGATGATGAAGAGCTGGAATACTGAATTGGCAACTAGTTACAACAAACGTTTCCTATTGCTTTGTAGTGGCACAGCAGGATAATATGCTGGACCACAAGGTCAGTTTGAGTAGCAAGGTTGGTGGTTCAAACTCACCAGCCACTCCTCAGAAACCCAACACAGGGTCACCATATGGGTCAGCACTTAAAAAACAACAAACCTGTAAGAGAAGCACTTGAAAACTGAGGTCTACGCAGACCTGGTGTGGTGCTGTAGGATTAGCACTGGAATGCGAACTACAAAGTCAGCAGTTCAAACCCACCAGCTGCTCCTTGGAAACCCTATGCAGGATCAACAACAGGCTGATCTTAAAGTCACAACTCACCTTGATCGGGATCTATGACGCCGTCTAGGTCGAGTATGAGAAGGAGAGCGAGAACGTGTCCGGGACCTTGATTTAGAACGAGATCGAGATCTTGGTCTAGTCTTCTCCTTTTCCTTTTCTTTTTTAGAATTTTTTTCTGGAGAAGGTTCTTTAGGCTCTAGTACAGGCTCAGGTTTGGGAACTTTCAGGATGTCACTACAGAAACACAAGAGGGGTGGTCATTAAGAGTTGGAATTAACAACCATGAAACCCTCTTCCAGTCAGATTCCTAAGTTATAATACAGTGATGTACTAAAATACTATTTCTTTCCAAAGTTTTCAAAACTCTTAGCTACAAAAAATACGTATATCTATGAAACTGAGTGAGCAATTTACAATTCTAGCCATACTTTGAAAAAGTAGAAAGCTTCTCAAAATATATTAAAGGAAATAAGCAAGTTACAGTATATAAATGATCTGAAACAATACAACCAGTACATAGTTGTCACCTTGGAGGTATTTTATTCATTATACTCCCCTTTATATTTTTTAATTCCTTTCAAGTAAGTAAAAAACACAACTAATAAAACCATCAAGTGCCTCTGTTTTGATCTGTAATCACTAGTAACAGTCTAAAACGATACTTGTAAATAAATCACTATGTTACTTGCCTAGTAGAAGTGGCCTCTTGTACTGAAGGTTCTTTTACTTTCACAGAAGGTTCTGGAAGCTCTGGAGTTTTCTCCTTCTTTTCTGGAGCAGGTGAAGGACTCCGGCTCTTGGTTCTGTGACGGGGAGATCGAGAATGACTGCGCTTTCTCTCTCTCCTGACAGGAGAAGATCGTCTTCTAGGAGAAGGAGATCTGGATTTGCGTCTAGGATGAAAGCAATTGTTTTCAGATTTTTGAATAACATTAAGGCTGGGGGTCAGGTAGGGGGTGGGAGGGAAGCATAGGGGGAGGTGAGAATTGACCCTGTTATTTATACTATTGCTAGAGAAATAGATATCTTACTTAATCTACTTGATAGGAAAAGGGCCACAAGAAAAGAGAAAGCCAAGTAAAATTACAGATTTCACAAATATATGGGTTACAGAAGAGGGTTCTTCATTATTCCCAGAGAAATAAGGAGACAAAAGATGAACTTTTCAGAGAAAAAGAAGACGCTGAAAAGTTAATAGTGATATCCTCTACCAACAAGTCAAACCCAACAAAATTTGAGGTCACCAGGCAGAGCCTAGGAATGACAAAAAATGTCTAGTACAACTAAAGCATATTTTCCTTAGAATAGACATATTTCAAAAACTTGCATAAGACAACTTTCATGGAAGAGGAAAAGTCCTCTCCAGGTTTGCTTAACTTGAAAATACTTTTAAAATTTTTAGTCACAGTAAAAGAAAGAAAACAGTGGACCTGGATCCATCAATAGTTAAGTTGTTACTACCATAAGGATTTGTGTTTAACTTCAGAAGTACTGTTCCTTCTTGACAAGCTGTGTTTAATACAGTGTATAAATGAAATGTAGTAAGAAATTACTTCCTTCCCTTATTGAATTCAGAAGATTTATGAGAGAAATAAGCAAAACCCTAAAATGAAAAGCCTAATAGAATTCTCACCTTTCACCATAAATAAGTAGAAGCTGAGTCGTGGATTTAAAAATGTGAACCTAACAATAGTCTCATTGGAAAGAAGAAAACAAATAAATGATCTGAAGTTTGAGTTCAGTACAACCATCTGAGAAAAGCAGAACAGGGAATTAGGTAGGTATAATCAAGGGTACAGAGTTCTAATCAAAAGAAAACGGAAAAAAAAAAAAGAGACAAGAGTATACCCCAAAATAACTCAAATTATATGCTATATTTAAACTAAAGCAGTATGAAAGAAAAGTCTAGATATTAATTTAGAAAATAACAGTTGGATAACTCACCAAGACTTTTTCTAGAAACAATGATTATGGACAAGTGATCTTTCTCAAACCAAAGAGGAAATATTTCTTTTGTCCAGAAGCAAGTCACAGCTTACCATGATAACTTTATGAAGGGAAAGATATTCTAAAGAGTGGCAGTAGCTTCCTTTTTAAGTGTGCAAGTTTCCATACACTGAAATCCTTAAGACCTGATGTATCCATGAGACATTTTTACCTTCTTGGGCTTCGAGATCGCTCCCTTTTTTCTCTGCTGCTTTCTTTTTCCTCCTTATCCCTCTTATCTTTGTCTTCATCTTGCTTTTTCATAGATGCCAATTTTTCTTGTTCAATCTGTGAAGATGTTCCCAGAGTAAACAGTTTGAGAGAAACAAGCAAACTAAAGACTACTTTCCAAGTTTGATAAACACCAATGCTATATATGGTGGTGGTGGTTATGTGCTATGGAGTCAATTCCAACTCATAGCGACCCTGTACAGACAGGGTTTCTGAGGCTGTAAATCTTTACAGGAGCAGAAAGCCTCCTCTTTCTCCTGCAGAACAGCTGCTAGTTTCGAACTGCTGACCTTGCGGTTCGCAGCCCAATTCGTAACCACATCGTTAACATATAGGCACATATATATGTATTGGCATATATGTACATGCCATTTCACCAGTCTCTTGCTTTTGAAAGGTTCTTTCTTTATCCATCCTACAAGTACACATTAAAATTGGTTTTAGTCACTGATTTACAGTTAACTAAAAAACCAAACGCCCAACATAAAAATAGCTACCATCAGATTCCAACTCATGGCAACCTCTATGTGTCAGAATAGAATTGTAATCTATAAGGAGGTTCTGGGTAGACTTAACTTGCCAACTTTTTGGTTAGCTGTTGTTGTTGTTAGGTGCCATGGAGTTGATTCCGACTCGTAGCAAACTGTACAGGGTTTCCGAGGCTGTAAATCTTTAGGAGCAGAATGTTTCATCTTTCTCCTGCGGAACAGCTGGTAGTTTC